ATGAAGTCCACAAGGTATGGGTTAATTAGTATGACTTGTATCACTAAATCATCCTTCTCCCAAACCAGTTCTTACGATCTAAAAATATTTTCTGACTTTAACTAACCTGGAAAAGACGATAAGTCAATCAATCATTATATATATATATATATATATATATATATATATTCTCAAAGTTTTGTGCTAGTATGTGATCAAAAGGGACATCTGGTCTTCAGCTTTAAATTAATTTTGCCCTTACTAGTTTTCAAACCTTGTACTAATCCTATGAACATAACTTCTCATTTCCTCTTCCAATTTCTGATCCAGGGTTCATACCCTCCTGACACGAAAGTTGAATTTATCAATCCATGTTTTAATTTTCTGTTTATTTAAATGTTAACCCTCAAACACCATTTTTTACATTTCTACTTATAATACATTGATTTCAGGGTTGTTACCCTGTTAGATTCCATAATATTTTCATCTGCTTGGCTTGGGGGAAAAAATTATACTGTTAATTTAAATAATTTAATCTAGCTAATATCCTTGGAAAAGGCATGAATCCATCTCTTCTTCCCACACCCAGTTATGGGTAAATAACAAGACATACTAGGTTCTATAGCCATGAGTGGCAATCAGTCTAGGAGAAACAAAATTCTAATTCAAAACTGTATGTAGTCCTGGCAAAGCATATACTACACAGCTAGGGAAAAGATTGTTTCCTAGTAATCTAGTTTGTTTAAGGTATATTTTCTGAAGCTGGAACATTCAGCTTTTAAATAAAAAAAAAAAAAAGGTTTTGCATCTTATCTGTGATTCATTTATTTGCTCCTAAAAAAAAAAAAAAAAAAAAAAAAAGCAAAGTGAACATCTAAATGTGCCAATTACATAATTTTTCCCAGGGGTTGTAATTCATGTGCTTTAAAAGCTATGATTCAAATGTAAGTGAAATTTGATCATTTTGAACCCCACCCTACTAAAAATCCTGAATCTGCCCTGGATATATATGACATTTATTATTAACTCCTTATTTTTGAAGGAGACGAATGAAGCCCATTTAATCTAAATTCATTCTTTGCATTCTTTTTCCTTTCCCAAATAGCGATGAAAGGATGAAGCATTTCATTGCTACAGTTGCTTTAATTTAGGTCACATGTGAAATAAAAACAATTATGATTCATTCTTCTTCTATGTGCTATGTTCCTTCTTTACATAGACGATCATTGCTCTCCTCAATTCCTTGTCTTTTGTAGCACTTAATAACTTTTGTCTTTTTGTTATTTCTCCTCAACCCTGTTCTGCCATTAATTTATTCAAGCTTGCTAGGTAGGTTATGTATTCTTTTCTTCTGTCCCTCTTGCCTTTAATTTGTCCTGTGAGTATCAGATTTTCCAGTCCCTCTTTCCTCATGTGCTCAAGAAATTTCAACTCTTCCTGATGGTAAGTATGTTTTCTTTTTGTTTCCATTAGAAGGGAGGAAAAAGATGAACATTTCACCTAATTTATCATATTTACCTTTTTGTGTAAATTGTTTTGATAAGATTTTTAAATTTTGTTGAAGGAATTAACACACTTAACAAAGTGACAGTAATAAAGATAACATTTACAGTAAATTTATTTATGTTTTTAAATTGAGTTCCCCCCCAAAAAAGGCAGTAAAGCCACTAAGACACAAGGGGTTACTTGGTGTGAAAGAATTAGAAAGCAGAAACATTACTAAGGAGCGAGAAGAAAATAACACTAATCGGAAGGATAGTAGATAGCAATTGATTTAAATTTTTTAAAGATTAAAGTTGGCTGGAAAGCATGGAGCTAGAAAGGAGTTCCACAAGCGAAAATTGCAAAAAAGAAACTGTTAGCATAAAACTTATGGTGACATCTAGCCAACTCAACTGTAAATTGATGAGATCTCATTGACAGTCTAGTACTGTGTTTAAATTCAAAAAGTCTAGATTACAATAGTGAAGAATTCATCTGGAAAATTACCATGAAAATATTTACAGAAAAGGCACAGGGTGGTAACTTTATGGTGGTGGGAAAGTGACTGAAGCTGAAGCATTAGATCAGGGCCAATAATATTGCTGATTCTTTTTTGGTTTTTATCAAGGAGTTCAAAGTAAGTAGTAAGAGCACCAGACCATATATGGCAGCAATATCCTAAGCATGGATGAATGGTATACTTCAAGATATGTAAGAAAAATTCTGGATAAAAAATTTTCTAGCATGAGACAGTGAATCAACTTTCTTAGCAGCTGATCTAGTAATGGATTCAATATAGTCTCTCCACTTCATATTAGCCAAGAATGTTAGCCTAAGAAGATGTAACAAGTCACTCTCCTGGTGGTTAGCAACAGCCATGCTGGTTAAAGTAAGATTGTACAATATTTCAAAGTTGTAGACAAGAAGGGCTCTCTCTTCTGTAAGTTTTAGTGAGAAAAGTCTTTTTTCCCTGTAAACATTATAGATGTTTTTTTTTTATTTTTAATCATTTCACACCAAACAAGGCAATAATGCCACTAGAATGCAAGGAGTTAGTGAAAGAGAATAAAAAGACTTTAATGAAGAGAAAGAACAAGAGTCAAGAAGACAGAAGATAGTGATTGACATTTCTGTTTTCAAGATTGTCAGTGGCAGAGAATCAAGAAATCGAAAGGATAGTTCCACAGACGAGAAGTGTGAGAAAAGAAAAAATTAGAATAGAACATACAATTGCATCTAGCTAGTTCAATAGTAAAATAGTGAGTCCTAGTTACCGATCTAGTAGCATGCTTAAATTCATGAAGTTGAAGCTCATCTGAACAATTACCATGAAAATATTTGTAGAAAAGACAGAGAGAAGCCACATCATATTGGTGCGAAAGTAACTGAAGTTGAGGTGCCAGGTTAGGATCAATTATTTTTCAGACCATTCCTTACCACCAAATTTGCAAACAAATGTTTTTTTGTGGGACAACAGCTTCACGGATTAAAGCATTGGTTCATAAATTTGGTGGCATAGTATCTGAGTTCAATCCTTGAACTGGACAGTAAAAACTCACTCAGTAGAAATGGTGTACAATAACTAAGCAGTATTAAAAAGAATGATATGAGATATCCCTAGACAGACTTTTGGGAATTAAAACAATCTAATTCTGTAGATTAAATAAAAGGTTCTGCTCAAAATTCTCTGAAAGTTACCAGGTTTAACAGACACCTGAAGAAAGCCAGAGAACACAATGGCCAAAACACTGTGATAATAATAACAAAGATGAAGACATTAGTCCAAATTTTAAAAACGCAAAGAAAAAACCTATGTATTCAAATTACTGGTTTGGAGACCTCAAATACTGCGTCTGTTGATAAATAAATACTTGCTAATTACAGTTAATATTACAATATTAAAGAGTGAGTCTAGGTACAAGTATTGGTGGTCTATGGTGTCTTGATGAACATTTGTCTACTACTTCAGTCCTTATGTACCATGCATGACACACACTTGGGTGATCATGTCTTTTTTTGATTCACGATTGACCTGGCAGGTGAATTCCCACAGTAGGCTGTGGTTACTTTCTGCAATAGAGTGGTTCCCAACCTAGGCTATAGGATCCAGTCTGTCTTGCTGATTAACCCATAGCTGGGGGAGAAGAGATGGATTCATACCTTTCCCAAGAGTGAATGTAATGAACTCAACTGGAATTCAAACTGTACTCTCTGAATTTATATTTTGAATTGTTATTAATCACACCACCCACACTTCCAAGCAGTTATCCATCTCAGTATGATCAGATTCAATGTTGGTTAACTTTGGTGAGTGGACAAGAACTAGTGATATGGCCATAATATGCTTACTGCTAGATAGTCTAAATTTTGCATAGAAGACTCAGAAGATTCTTTGACCACCATTTGTTTTGTGGAAGAGAGAATGGAGTGCTATGTCATCAAATTTGTTACCTCATGATTTACTAAGCTAAAAGTAAATTACTGAAGACTATTTTTTGCTATAATAAGGTAAACTTATATCTATAGTCCTCAGCCAGTCTTTCACTGGCTAAACCAATGATGTGCTTTGATTCTTGTTTGTGTTGTTGTAAACAAAAAATAGAAAAGACCTTCACAAATCATCTTTTCAATATATTGAACCCCAGGTATGGGTTAAATAGTAGGAATTGTATCAGTAAATCGTATCTCCAAAAAACTCTTACAATCTAAAAAAAAAGTATTTTCTGGCTTAAAATAAGCATTGATAGGCTGTAACAAAAAAAGAAATCAATCACTATATGAGGTTCTTTATTCATAGATTCACCTGGCACAGTCTGGTGGAGATAGGCAAGTGGCACTTGGAAAATTTTTTCTGCTACTTCTATCTTATCTCACAACAGTCTAATGGACCAATTATCTCTTTGGCCAATGAGAACTCAAACTGCCTCTGACTCTACATTTCTTACTCTAACCATCTCTCTCTCACTTCTGGCTGCCCATGACTCTACATATCCACCAACAGCTTCTTACTGGGGTCTCTGCAACCACTCTGTTAATGGCCCCACTCTCTGTGACTGTTTATCTTTCTTGCTCTAACAGTCACTCCCCTGTCACTAACTGTTTTGTTAATTTTATTCTGCCTATCTGTATATCATGATGTGCAGCCTTCTGATTTAATCAAATCGTGGCTCTGATTATATAGGCCTATGACTGGAATTCTTTAACTTCCTGCTGTGTGGTACTTAATCACAAATTCTTATTATTTAACTGCTTCATTTCCTTTTTCCTTACTTGTGGACAGCTATAAAGGGCCTGTATTTTAACTTTACTGTTGGTTGTTGTAAAACCAGGCCTAGCCAAAAACATTTCAGAACCAACTTGATATCATTTTGTCATAATAGCATAATAGATGTTTTGGATTGTGTTCTGTTTTTTGTTTTTGTTTTCTTATTTATTCTTAATGAAAAATGTAAAATAAATATATGAAATATGGGAAACTTGTATTGATATTTACTTGTTATTTTTAATTTTTTAATTTATTTTATTTTATTTTTTTGCAGGCTTCTGTGATTCTTAATTACAGAGAGCATCATTATGAGCAAGAAAACAATTTTAATTTGTGCAGCTTCAGTGTTGGGTATCGCCATCATCATTGGACTGCTTGCTTCATCTTTTCGAAAGCTTCAGTCTTATCAAGGTTTGTCTTCTTACTTATTACAAATTCATCTTAAAGATGTAGAGCCATTTTGATTTACATCTATAAAAAGCAGCTTTCATTATGACAGCTGTAAAGTCTATATGTGTACTCTTCTTTTTAGATCTGAGCCCATATGGTTGCAACCGCTTTTAGATAGAAGCCTGTATGGTTGCACCCCCTTTTAGGGATGGGTCCATGTGGTTGCACCCCCTTTTTAGATATGAGTTTGTACAGTTGCATCTATTATATTAGATACAAACTGTGTGGTATGAGCCCAGCCCATGTAGTTGAACTTTGTTTTTTTTTCTAGATATGAGCCCGTACAGTTGCAGCTTCCTCTAACCCATATATCATTGCACCCTTTTTAGATATGAACCAGTAAATGCTAGATATTTATTAATAAATAATACTCTGTGTGTTTTTCCACCAAAAGAAAAATTGTAGAAGCAATGTACATTTCTCTAGATAAAACTTACATTTGTGCACATTTCTGTAAATAAAACTTACATCTGTGCATATATATATAATATATATATATATATAATTATTTATTTAAAAATATGATTCCAAAACGCTACATAAGAAGTCTCGTGTTTCAAAACAAGAGCCGAAAACTTCAATATAATTATTTAAATTAAATTGAGCTAAAATAAGCTCTGTTCCATCTTCAAGCGAAATTTTTTTTTGGAATAACGTATATCTAAAATTTACGTGTTTTAAAAATTGAAATCAAAATATCCATGCTAACATCTAGGGCGAATTGTTTAAATTGTGTAGGCGAGTGTTGAGTGTTAATAATAAGTATCAGTATAGAGTTACTTTCATAGATGTCAAGTCAGGGAAAGGTGGGGGTGTTTAAATTTGAAACGGAAGATGTATTAACCCTCGTCTAGTTTGCATGTCTATGGATATTTATTAATTTTTTTATGAAAGGGATTTGTGCATATAAAAAAACTGTCGTAACGTTTGTTTTTTGACGACTTCATAAAGGGTTATCTTTTTTGTAGGGTATTTAAACTATTTATTTGGGCTATGGATTATGAAGGGTGTTATATTGCATGCATGTTTTTAGTTAATTATTCAAACCATGAATCTGATGAGTGGGCTATGGATTAAACAAGTTATTATATTGTATGCTATTTTTTTTAGCTAATAATTCAAACCAAAAATCTGATGATGTCTACAAAAAACTGTTAACTCGTGTCTATTGTTTAATAGATTATTATTATTTTGAAGCTTAATGATGTGCAATTTTTCATGGAGGCACAAAGGGCATGGGTCATCCCAAGTTTTACATGTTCTAGCCTTGTTTATAATTTTCCATTTAACTTTAGGTGTCCTATTTGTTTCCTTCAGATGCCAGAAATATTTAGATAGTGAAGTCTGATTTCTTTTGTTTATATTATTGAAAGAGCACATGCTGCCTCCATCTATCTTTAAATTCATTCTTCGTGGACTCAATGCTAGTGCTAGGGCTCTCAGTGGATGATATAGTACATTGGTATACCACAGATTTAATGCAGCATTTATTTTCTAATGGGCAGTCTTCTAGGTTTCTACAGTGACATAATTTTCTCTTTTTATTGTCTGATTTAAGTGCAGGGTTTTTTTATTAATACTGTTTTAGGCATGGGGGTTTGTTCAAGATCTTATTATTGTGTTTTTTTTTTATTATACGTTCAAGATTTTCAGAGCAGCTGTAACTCAATTTTAGGGTGTTCTTATTGAATATATTACTAAGCTTATTATTGGTGGGGAAGTGTTTATCAATTAGAGCTAAGAATGTCTGCCCTAGTTTAATATTAACCATTTGGTTGAACGGAGGGGTGTACCAAATGATTTTTCTTTTCCTGTTTTTTTTCCCATTGCCAGTGCAATTTTCTCTATAGTTAATGTTAGCATTTTTATAACCACTATTTTTTAGGGCAGTGTTATAGAAGCCATTGTGTTGTTGGAATATTTCCTTGTTAGCGGAGTTATTGCTAATTCTATTTTCTATTGATGAGGGTATATGTTTAATTATGGATGGAGGATGGTTTGACTTCGGGTGTATATATAAAGGGTTAGCATTTGGTTTACTATAAGGTTGGTATGTGTTGCCTGGTAAGTCTAGAGTTACGTTGAGGAAGTTTACCCTTTTCAAATTAGAAGAGACAATTATCTTTAAGTTTAGTTTTTTTAAATTCACTAAATATAATTTTTCTGATTTTTTCAATCTTAAAACTAGTAGAACTCCTCACCACCATGAGCCCGTCATCTCTATACAGCCCATCATTAAGCTTCAAAATAATAATAATCTATTAAACAATAGACACGAGTTAACGGTTTTTTGTAGACATCATCAGATTTTTGGTTTGAATTATTAGCTAAAAAATAGCATACAATATAATAACTTGTTTAATCCATAGCCCACTCATCAGATTCATGGTTTGAATAATTAACTAAAAACATGCATGCAATATAACACCCTTCATAATCCATAGCCCAAATAAATAGTTTAAATACCCTACAAAAAAGATAACCCTTTATGAAGTCGTCAAAAAACAAACGTTACGACAGTTTTTTTATATGCACAAATCCCTTTCATAAAAAAATTAATAAATATCCATAGACATGCAAACTAGACGAGGGTTAATACATCTTCCGTTTCAAATTTAAACACCCTCACCTTTCCCTGACTTGACATCTATGAAAGTAACTCTATACTGATACTTATTATTAACACTCAACACTCGCCTACCCAATTTAAACAATTCGCCCTAGATGTTAGCATGGATATTTTGATTTCAATTTTTAAAACACGTAAATTTTAGATATACGTTATTCCAAAAAAAAATTTTGCTTGAAGATGGAACAGAGCTTATTTTAACTCAATTTAATTTAAATAATTATATTGAAGTTTTCGGCTCTTGTTTTGAAACATGAGACTTCTTATGTAGCGTTTTGGAATCATATTTTTAAATAAATAATTATATTTATGCTCTACTTTTGTATCGAGCACTATTTTTTAAAAATACTAAGGGACTTTGGATTATTTACCTAACCAGTTCCTTCCTATTTTCTTTAAATTTTCACATATATATATATATATATACATGCCCACACACAGTGCGTTTGAACAAATATTCATACACATACAAATTTTTCATATAATTAACTTTACACAGATGCATAAATATGCATAAGAAACAGAAAAAAAACAGATGCATAAGAAACAGAAAAAAATTTAATCGAAGTAAATTCCATTTATCCATTTTAATGGGTGAAAAAAGTATTCATACAGTACAAACAGGAATACATAATCTTCATTTAATACTTTGTAGAATAGCCATTATTCAGTTCTACAGCAACCAACCTTTTTTCGTTTTCAATTAATGATTTGCAAATTTTAGTTGGCATTTTGTTCCATTCTCCTTCATGTATGGTCTTCAGATCCTGGATGTTTTTTGGACATCTCGATCAGATTTGAATTTTCAAATAACACCCCAGATTCTTGATTGGGTTTAAATCTGAGGACTGACTTGGTCATTTCAGGATATTTACATTATATTCAGCAAGCCATTTCTTTATAGATTTTGCAGTGTGCTCAGGATCATTATCTTGTTGGAAGATCCAATCAGGAGGAAGTTCAAGATTTTGCTTCCAAAATATTTTGATATGCTGTGGCATTGATTTTACCATCTATTACTGATATATGCTGCCAGAACCTTTTGCAGAAAAACATCCACAAACCATGATGCTGCTGCCACCAACAAATTTCACTGCTGGAATTATGTTCTTTTGTTTGAAGGGATTGCCATCTTTCCTCATTACAAGATTTCTAGAATTACGTCCAAACAACTCAATTTTTGTTTCACCTGTCCATAATACTCTTTCCCAATATGATTTTTCTTTATCCTTATGTTCACGAATGAATTTCAACCTGGCATCTCTGTGTCTTTTCAGTAGCATTGGGGTTTTCCGAGGGGAGTGTGACTTTAGATTGTTCCTATGAATTTCATTGCTTATTGTCTGTTTAGTGACACAGACTCCTCATGAAAGCATCCTGCAACTGTTGACAAGTAACCATTGGATTTTGTTTAATTTGACAAGTTAATTTCCTCAATGATCTTGAAGAAATCTTTCATGGAACACCTGTTCTTCTTTGGTTTTCAACAGTTTTTAGTATTTTATACCTTGCAGTGAATGAACTAATAGTAGTAAATGGAATATTCAGGTTCTCTGAGATTTTCCTGCAACTTTTACTTTTTTTCTAGAGCTTAACAATCAGTTCTTTTTGCAAATTTGTCAGTTCTTTACCTGTTCCCATAATAAGCTTCTTGCACGAATATCAATTAAAGAATGTTCTGTTCGTATTTTTTATGCTAAAAATAACTAATGATAAAATTATTGGAACATTTCAGAATATTCCACTTAAGTAATCTAGAGTATTAAAGTAATTTAAGTTTTAAAATCTGAAATTTGCATTGTATGAATATTTTTTTCAAACATTAAAATGTATAAATGGGATTTATTTCTATTAAATCAAAAATGAAAATAACACTGACATCTCATTTTAACAGATATATTTTCCAAAATTACACAAAAATTTCTTGAAATACTAAAGAGTAAATTTATTCAATAAAATTGCCATTGACTTCAACCACAGCCTTCAGCTGACTTTGGAATCTCCTGCAACTCTTCTAGACAGTCTCTTTGTATAAGTTGATGAATATTGCCGTAATTCTTACCTTCAGTTCATCTTTGGAGTTACAAGGAGTTTTGTTGATCTTTCACATCAGTTGCAGTCTGTGGAGTTAAGTGGCCAGATATAAAGGGTAATGTGATTGCAGAAATTGTCTGACAGGCATGATTAGGTTCTCTCACTTGTGTGGCATGGTGCAGAGTCCTGTTGCCATACATAGGGTCTTCCAGCAGCTACCCTCTTGACTCAGGGCAGCACTACCTCCTCAAGGCACTTGATGTAGTCCTCCATGTTGAGTATGAAGCCTGGTGGGAAGATGAATGGAGGCATAATGACACCATCACTAGTGATTACTCCAAACACTACAAAGTTGACTGGATATATTATCTGACTCTTTCTGAATCCTCTGTAATGTCCTCAGATTGACACCTATAAACTCTGAAATGTTTGTATTGGAACTTCCGGTGTCAATTTCAAGCAGTACAGCATGCTGTTTCCAAATTTCTCATGGAGTGAATTGTGTCATGGTGCTCTTTTCCTCACAGATGGTGCCCGACTGACTTTACTATACTCTGCAACTGATAAAATCAAAAACAATGTGCATGTGTGAAATTAAAAAAAAAAAAAATGTCGACAATTTATCCATCGCACCCTCTGTCTCTGTGTATATATATATATATATATATATATATATATATATATATATATATATATATATATATATATATATATAAATAATAATTTTCATTGAATAATATAGAAATATTATATCTATTTCTATAATAATCCTTTCCAGCTGTCTAATCAGTTTCTTGATGTTAAGAGCTCATTCCTCAAGGAAGGTGCTGTAGTTTTTTCATACCCAAGTACTTTTGATATCCTCCAAGATCATCTTCAGGGGTGAATTACAAAGACAAACTTATTATGATTGTTGTGATGATGATTTTTAAAAAACATGTGTGAATGCACTCTATTATAATTATTTGAAATTTATTCATTGCAGCTAATTGGAATTTTTTGCAAAACAAGCACCTCAATATAATTCACACCTGTGGAAGATCTTTGAGGAGATAGACAGTACTTTAGTAGGAAAAGCCTGAATATGGACAAGTTCTGTCTATCTTACTTTTGCGCATCTTAATTTTTAATATTTTTATTTCAGCTTGATAAAAATCAATCAAAAATCAAAATGAAAGTGGTTGTAATTCATTTAATAAAGGTTTTTCTTAACGAATATAGTTTAATTAAAATTTGTTGCTCCTGTTGATGTTACAATGTCGATCAGTCTTTTTCTATAATTTTTAAGAAGTTTCTGGTAGTAGAGAGTGCCAAATTTTGACCATTCTTCTTGGCAAAATTCCCATGATTGCTCGATATTACCTGGGGTTTCTTGCATACACTGGACTTGAATCAAAGATTTTCAATTGGGTTTAGATAAGGTTTTTGATGTTTCATGCATGACAAGGCCATTCCAAGACTTAACATTTCTTTTTACAAACCCATTCATTTATGGATTTGATTTGATGCTTCAGCTCATTGTTCTGTTGAAGATTCTAGCCTTGCCCTAAACCCAACTTTTGAACTGAGGACAAGACACTTTCATTCAAAATTGCTTGGTATCTTGGTGTAGAGTCGATTGTGCTGTCAATGCATACTATTTTGCCAGTTCTGGCTGCAGCAAAGCACCCCCAAATCATAAAGCTGTCACCATCATATTTAATGGTTGGTATCAAATTCTTCTTTTCAAAAGCCGTATTAGGAGCTCACCAGATATACCATCTATTGTTCTTCATAAAAAGCTCTTGTTTGGTCTTATCTGACCATAAAACCTTTTACCAGAATGCTTCTTGCTTAATACGAGCTTTGGCATAGATGAGGCGATCATGCTTGTGCTATTTCGTAAGCAGTGGCTTTTTCTAGGCATTCTGCCACAAAGATTGACGTTGTTCAGATTTTGTCACACTGCAGATGTATGCACATGGATTCTGACATTGGCCAGTGAGCAGTGGAGAACTGCAAAAGTTGCAGCAGATTTACCTGTGCTTGCTGAACTAGATGTCTACTTGCTCTTGCTGTTATTTTTTGCGAACATCCACTTCTTGATTATGATGCCGTCATGCTAAAGGCCTTCCATTTATAAATAATTTGTTGTGTGCTGGAGATGTGCACTCCAAACCGTTTGTTTTTAGCATTCTCCATCTTTATGGGTTTCAACTATGTGATTTTTTTTAAAGCTTCAGGAAGTTCTTTTGATCTTTGCATATATATTTTTTAAAATTTAGTCTCTAACTGTACACTTTTGCATACACAATGAGTTATATTGTTTGACTGCAGTATACACAGCTTACTAAAAAAATGAACACTTGCCATTTTGATTTTTACACGTGCACAAAAAATTGTTTGCACTGGTAACCATGTAAAACAAAAATACACATTGTAAATGTAAGGGTTTACTTACTTTTGCACATCTTAATTTTTTATGAATATTTTTATTCCAGCTTGATAAAAATTTTGAAAGTGGTTGTAATTAATAAAGTTTTTTCATAATGAATATATATATATATATATATATATATATATATATATATCATTTAATTAAGATTTGTTGATTATCTGGAAAAAGAGACAATTATTTTAAATGTTATCTTAGGGGTTCACTTACTTTTGCACAGCACTGTGTATCTCTATCTCTCTCTCTCTCTCTCTATATATATATATATATATATATATATATATATAAATAAAACAATATCACTCAAATCAGGAAAGTATTTAAACAAAAGAAACTACTTATTTGCTTAAAGGAAACTAGCAGTATAACTCGTCTTTGAACAGATCTTTCATTATTGGGAATTTTTGCTGTTCAATTGGAGCAGTTTAAGTTTAAAGCCAGCCCACCCAAAAATCATTATTAATAACAACAATTGGGTGCAACTAAGGCACATCCTCAAGTGGAAGGGGTTAACATTTTGAAGTGGGGGGTCCTGAAAAGGGCCGTTTTTTGCATTCCCAATCTTATTTCAGGCCTATGTGCAGCAGCAGTTGAAGAGGCATTTCTCCTCAGTCACTGAGTCCTTTGATCATCATTTTCAGCCTTGTGCACAGAAGCGGCCAGGTATGCTCTTCTGAAAAGCCGATGGCTACATTTTATCTTTGGACTCGGTGGCTCTGATTGAAGCATTCCGAGAGGAATTTTGAAACAGGCAAACTGAATGTTCTAAAGACGATTCGTTATCTATTATTCATATGGCAGACCTGGCGACAGCAGTTTTGTGACCTAGGCAAGTTCTTTTCTTTGGTGGCATGTCTTAGGCAAGTATGACTTGTCAGATGGAATGTGTGGGCAAATACCAGAAGAGAACGCTGTAAAGCTACAGGGATCACTAAGCTCGAATATCTTTAGGAAAGGTTGGAAAAATAAATGTTGAATAATAAAAAAAGCAAGCTCACTTATTATTAGGGTGAATGCAATGCAAAAACTGGCAGGACAATAAAAAAATTTAAATTGAGAACGGCTATAAACGACAATGAAAGCAATGCCTTAAAACTGTAATAGTAGTAGGCTTTATGCAATTGAGAATTAATATAATTAATTATATAAATTTAACTGTATAATATTGTAATAATTTAAACTATTTATTTTTATTAAAATTTTTATGAAAGATATATATCCAAGAACAGGTAGTAAATAGTAAAATGTTGCTGAGAGTTATAATGGACAGGAAGTAGTGGAGAGCCATTGTCACCAACAATTTGGATTCAAAACCAGCACTGAAGAATTATCGATCAAACAAAAACAAATTTCATTGAAATTGGATGGAAACTGTGGAAGCACATAAACAACATCCGATCATACATACACACACACATACACACACACATACACACACACACACACATTTTGAGAATTAGAGATACAGATGGTTTCTTTTCCTTTTATATTCAAATCTGTCAGTATTCAGCTGCTGAATTTCTATTGCTTCTAACCAGGTTCTGATTATGTACTAGCAGCTATACCCAGCTGGTCGATTAGAAAAAGTGTTCAATTCGAATGGAGCAAAAACAGCATCATGTTTAGATGTAACAGTCTATCTTCTTCAATTACTTTAAAGTACTGCCATTAAAAAACATTTTGAATTAATGCAGTTACTGATATAACAGAGGTAGTTTGTATTTATTTAATCAAAGCTAGCCGAGGACACGAAGGGGTAAAACAGGCTACATGAAAACCCATTTTAGACCACAATTATTTTGGAGTTTTTGAAATTCAATTTTTCAGTGTGCTACCAGGGATGTAAAAGAGGATCCATTTGTAAAGCAGTTGTTAAGTTTGATGAAAATTGGTTGGAAGATCACCAAAAAATAAGAAAGAAACCAGTATTTATTTCGGTTTTCACTATATAGGTGGACTTAATTATCAAGTTAAATGACTGTTAAACAATCAACTTATTGTTGGCTACAATTGAATGAAGTTTGTATTGGATTGCTTTGAAAATTCAGTGAATTTTTAGTTTAAAATTTGTGTTGAAATCAATTTTTTGTTTTTCATGGTTTTTGGCTATAAATGCATTGGTGTAGAAATAAAAATAAGGTATCGTTGAGCTCGTCATGATGTAAATAACCTACATAGTGAGTTTGAATGAAATCAGAGGAAAAAAGTTGAATTTATCGATTTTTGATCAGCTTTATTGGTTATTGATTTTTTAAAAATTATTGATTTTTTTTTTATGCTAAGAACCTTGTATGAGCCAAGTTTGGTCAAAATCAGTTGGATGGATCTTGAGTGAAAAGGTATCACACAGGCAGGCACACAGACATCCTCTGTTTTATTTATATATATATATATATATATATATATATATATATATATAACAGAGGATGTCTGTGTACCTGTATATATATATATATATATATATATATATATATATATATATATATATATATATATATATAGAGAGAGAGAGAGATTTACTTGTCTCAGTTCTTGATAAACCAAAATTTTGGCCATTCCACATCCCAAGTTATCAACAATAGTGTTTCACATTTATCACTGTTAAATTGTGAATTAAATGAAGCAGACACCATTTTTTAAAAATTTTTATTATCTATATTGATTTTTCTCTTTCTTTTCCAGTGGGGCTTATTTACAACAAAATTACCCGAAATTTAAATAATAACCCTCAGACTGAAGGCCTTCACATTGGGCCTCCTGGATATGAATTCATTATTTTTCCAAATGTCTATGAAACAATGATCTTTGATGATCTTCAGGTAAACTATAAACTTTTATTTTTCTCTTTCATAGGCTTTTTGCAAGTTTATTTATATATATATATATATATATATATATATATATATATATATATATATGATAAAATATAGTTTTAAGGTGTGCTCTATTTATAGGTTAAAGTGATAGAGCATATGTAAATATAAAAGTGGACATTAAAGTCAACACCCAGTGGCAACATTCTGTTTCATGCTTACATGCAATTGTCAGGCATGAAACAGACTGTTACTGCTGGGTGTTGACTTCAATATCCACACACACACACATATATATATTTGGTTGAATTGATGTGAGTTTGTGACAATTGCAAAAGCGTGAAACCCAGGGTCACAAACCAACATCAATCCAACCAAATCTGTTATCATCTTTGATATTGAGTGCTTTCTAATAAGTACTGTGCATATAATATATAAATAATAATATATATAATATATTACACATATTTTTGTTTAAATGATATTGACAAGTTCTCTCTATCAATGTCTTTCATTTAATTTTTTAAATTTTCTGAATTAAGTGTTTTGTGCTATCAGTATATTTGCCAAAGTTCATATTTATATTTATTTTATATTATTTTCTTCCTGAGTACTTTCAAATGTTACTACATTTGTTTTCAATGATTTTTCTGAGGTACTAAAAAGGATAGATCATCAGAACAATTACCATGGAAATAGTTATTAAAAAGACACAGAGAAGATACAATATGGGGATGGGAAAGGGGCTGAAGGTGAGATACCAGATCATGACTAATAACATTACAGATTTTTTTTTTTGATTTGACCAAGAATCTCTAAAAACATAGCAGAAGCATCAGACCAGATGTAACTGTGTTGTTTTTGTTATTTTATTTTTTTTTTATGTAATCATTTACACTAAGCATATTGAGGGTAAAAAAAAATAGAAGGCAGCAAGCTACTACTTACCTGATGAGCTTGTGTGAATGGATGATCAAACAGAGAGTTTGAAACCTTAACTAGATCGGAAGAGCCATAACCGTCTATTATCTGACACAGAAGGATGAATTTTCAAAAAAACGTTCTGGGAACAGACCTAAAATTCAATTTTAGAAATAATTACACATCTTTTTTGTGTCTTTGTATTCTTGTATTTATATTTTTTTTTTTTTTTTTTTTTTTTTTTTTTTGAGATATCAAGTTAAATTTTTGTTCATTGTTTTCCAGTGCCTTAATCTTAATGGTGTCCGAATTATACTTGATGTGACATGCCAATTTAAAATCCAAGTGCCCCACATGAAAAAAGTTGTAATGGAATTTCGGAATTTTGATAGATTCAAACAAGTCTTGAAATATATGGGTAAGTGGCCTTCATTTAACTTGTAATGACATAACGTTTTTTTTTGGGGGGGGGAGATGTAATCATTTCACCCGAAACAAGGCAATAAAGCCACTAAGACACAGGTCGTTACTGAGAGGAAAAATCTTTATTAAGGAAAGTTTTTTCTGTTTAGTGGCATATCAACTTCTTATGGGTCATCTAATGCTGAAATTTAATTTTCTTGGGAGCATTAGTAATTTTTTTATTTTTTTTTATTTTTTTTTACAAAATTACATTGCTGGTAATTTTTTTATTACGAAAATGTAATATGAAAACCAGGAATAATTCTCTCTCACTCTCTCTTTTATTTCCAAGATTTTTTTCATATTGTTGTTTGCTCCCTCTAAAGAATCTATGTTGGACTCTTCTGCCTACTATAAGATTAGTAGGAGAGAAGGCCTTGGGGGAACAGTCGAATAGATTGAATGCTGGGGTAACTGACACACACTCACTAGTCATGTAATACTTTTCTGTTGTACTTACTGTTTAATCTCTATCTATAAAAGGCAGGATGTATATGTGTGTGTGTGTGTGTGTGTGTGTGTGTGTGTGTAACGAATGCACGGACGCAATTTTTGATGGATTTGCACCAAAATTTACACGCACATGCTCCAAGTTAGTGGAAAAGCCAAGACCAACTTTGCATTTCCCAACTCCCATCAATAGTGGAAATAATCGATTTTTTTCATAATTCTATGGCAGTTTTCATGTAGTTTGCAGCCATTTTCTACTGGCCAGAGTGAGAGCCAGTAGCTAGCTGTCACGAATAGACAGGAAGATTCTATTGGCCAGTGTGAGAGCCAACAGCTGACTGACATGAATGTTAACTAGCATGCTAGCATGCAAAAAAATCGATAGCTGCATTTGTCACAAGTGGGAAAAATTTAAATCTGCATGGCACTTTACTCCAATTGGCTCATTCACTTGCTTAAACTCAACGTTGATTCTGATTCCGCAGAACTAGGTTGGGTGTGAAAAAGTATTTGTTGTTAACATTCTTTTTTCATTCAGTTTTTCCAGTTATGAGTCCTTTTTTAAAGCTGATTGTTTTGTGTTCATTTTGTTTAGTTCTTTTTTCGTAACAGATTTAAGGTTTAGTATAGAGCTTATAAAAAATTTGCAGTGTGAGATAGGCAAGAAGTAAGGCATGTAGCAACATAGCATGATAGCGATTGCTGTATGAGTCGTATGATTTTTGAATCAAGCATGGACAACGCCGGACCATGCTGCTAGTATATGATATATCTGCAACACTTGTTTTGTTATTTCTTTAACCATTTACTTGGTCACAACATTACTATAGATTAAGTACTCAAGATCCTGAATATAAAAAAAAAACTTAAATTTTATACAAAAGGGAGGCCATTTTGCTATGTGATTGGCACCCACTCCCATCAAGATCATCATCCTCTCTCCCTATTCTCTTTCTTTCCCCCAGAAAGCCCACACATCTGACCAGAAGCCTTTTGGTTCAAAGAGGATTGAGACAGGCAATATCTGGCAAACCTGGTTGCATTGGGCTGTCAAATGCTTGGTCTGCCTTGGTTATGCCAGCCTGACTGGTGCTGCCTTCTTCCACTGGTTTGGCCATTGAGATTGTGTAGATGTTTGCCAATTCTGCTATTGAGGTCTTCAGGGGTTGGTCACATTCAGTCTGGTCCTTCTTCATTGACCTTACTGCTATGGGTGTGGCCCTACAGATATTGGAACTCCAGACAGCTTTCCTCTTGAGATCACTGTGGCAAGTAAACCTTCTACCATGATAAGGAATGACCATATATATATATTTTACACTGGATGTCAGAGTGAACAATTTATCATCAAATGTACATTATGTAATTTCATTGTAAATTGATCCCCCTATAGAAGCCATTGGAAATATGATCATATAACATGATTTCTTAAAATGTAATATATATATATGATAGGATAAAGAACAAATAGGAAACATTTATAAATCTAACTTTTATTAAAACTTCATCAGAGAATGACATATGGAAGAACATTTATTGATTCACCTGAGACAGTTTGTATTAAGCCTCACTTGATGAAGCTTATGAATTCAGTTTTAGAAGCATTGACATCATCCAATGTTACTGGCAGCATTTTATAGATGATGTAGGAGAACTAGCTATAATATTGAATAAATCACTAAAAGTTCAATGTACTTATCTCAATTGACTGGTTTATCCAACATCTGGCCCTGACGAATATTTTGATATGAAACTCTGGAGTCAGTCAATTGAGATAAGTCATTGAACTTTTATTGATTTGTTGAATATATATGTAGCCAAAGTTTAACCTTTGTGCCTGCAAAAGAACAGTCTGTCTGTAGATACCACTGTACACATTGTGTTCAGCAGAGGATGTGCAAGTAGCATAATAAATAGCAGCTTGGAATGAGAACTCAAAGAGCTGAGTTCAAATTACAGTTAGGTTTGTTACATTCACTTTTTTACCCTTTGGAAAGATTATGAATCCATCTCCTCTCCCCAGCTATGGGTTAAATAGTGGGATTTGTATCTGGAAAAATTAGTGCTACTATTTATATAATTATTAATGCAATATTTTGTTGTCAAAAACAAGAAAGGAATTATTCATACACTCCAGAATGTATTTCAACTTTAAATAATCCACAAAAGGTTGATAAACTGTAAAAAAAAATGAATCAATCAATACATCCTGCATTCAGTAGCAATTGCTGCTGATTCAGTAAAATGGAGTTTAAAGGAAATATGTTTGAAATGTTAAGATAGTATTTTTTTGTTACTACCACTTATAAAGATTGTACTAATAAGACAAATGTTATTTATTTACCCCAGCAAATCATGTCATGGGACTAATATATATATATATATATATATATATATATATATATATATATATATATATATATATATATATAGTATTAAGAAATATAGTCTTAAGATGTGCTATATTTATGGGATAAAGTGGTCAATATCAGAGATAGAGTGTGTGTTTCATGCTAGATGCAATCATCAGGCCTGATGATTGCATCTAGCATGAAACAGACTGTTGCCTCTAAGTGTTAACTTCTATGTTCACTTATATATATATATATATATATATATATATATATAGTGCACACTGAATGCTCAAAGTAAAATAACAGAACTGTAAATTATATATTAAAAATAAATACATTTTTTTCCACACCATTAGTACAATTCTGGGTTTCATGCACAAGCTAATTAGGTAAGTTATGTGCTGTTTTCCTCTGTCTCTCTTGCCTTCAATCTGTCCTGTGAGTGTCAAATTTTCCAAGCTCTCTTTTCCCGTGTACCCTAGAAATTTCAATTTACATTAATTTCATTATTCGGACTATTGTCCTCATCTTTATTGTCATATTCACAACATTTCAGCTGTTGTCCACTCTGGCCTTCTTCAGGTGATATACGTTGGAATAAAGTGTGTAACAGTCGAAATGTTGTGAATATGACAATATAGATGAGGACAGTAATCTGAACAATGTAAATAGTGTAAATAGTTACAATACCTCATCTCAGAAATATAGACTGATCCTGAAGAAGGCCGGAGAGTATGATGGCCAAAACGTTGTGAATATGGCAGTAAAGATGAGGACAATAAATAATGTAAATAGTTACAATACCTCCTCTCAGAAATATAGACAGATAAAAATTTCAACTGTCTATTTCTAATGTTAGATATAAGTATCCTTCTTGTTTTCATTTTTTTTCATTTTTTTTTTTTTTATCTTTTATAAATTCATGTTCCTATATCTTTGTTTGGTTGTAAGATTTAAGCTGTGAAAACTCGTACGTGATTTTGTGTAAAGAATTTTTACAGCATCCGAAAAGAGAGTTGAAATTTACTTTTAGAAAAGACGCTTAAATCTGAGATTATTTTTATGATTTTCATGGTAACCATTTGTGTTGCAGGAATTGCAGCCATTCATGAAGCATGCAGCAATTTCACAACTGCCCAGTTCCAAGAAGTCCGTGAAGCTTTTCAGTTTACTGTTAGAAATAAAATTGAAGAAAGATTCAACAGTGTCCATGCTGATGTCTCGGGAATACAAGTCAGTCATTTTTTTTCTCTTTATTCCTTTCAGTCTCAGAATAAAAAAACAAAAAAGAAGGCTTATGATGAGTCTTCTTTGTTTTTACACCATTTAATCTGAAAGAAAAGGTTTATTAAGGTTTCTTATTGTTTTTTACACCATTTAATTTGAAAGAAAAGGTTTATTAAGGTTTCTTATTGTTTTTACACCATTTAATCTGAAAGAAAAGGTTTATTAAGGTTTCTTATTGTTTTTACACCATTTAATTTGAAAGAAAAGGTTTATTAAGGTTTCTTATTGTTTTTACACCATTTAATCTGAAAGAAAAGGTTTATTAAGGTTTCTTATTGTTTTTACACCATTTAATCTGAAAGAAAAGGTTTATTAAGATTTCTTATTGTTTTTACACCATTTAATCTGAAAGAAAAGGTTTATTAAGGTTTCTTATTGTTTTTACACCATTTAATCTGAAAAAAAGGTTTATTAAGGTTTCTTATTGTTTTTACACCATTTAATCTGAAAGAAAAAGTTTTATTAAGGTTTCTTATTGTTTTTACACCATTTAATCTGAAAGAAAAGGTTTATTAAGGTTTCTTATTGTTTTTACACCATTTAATCTGAAAAAAAAAAGGTTTATTAAGGTTTCTTATTGTTTTTACACCATTTAATCTGAAAGAAAAGGTTTATTAAGGTTTCTTATTGTTTTTACACCATTTAATCTGAAAGAAAAGGTTTATTAAGGTTTCTTATTGTTTTTACACCATTTAATCTGAAAGAAAAGGTTTATTAAGGTTTCTTATTGTTTTTACACCATTTAATTTGAAAGAAAAGGTTTATTAAGGTTTCTTATTGTTTTTACACCATTTAATCTGAAAGAAAAGGTTTATTAAGGTTTCTTATTGTTTTTACCATTTAATCTGAAAAGAAAAGGTTTATTAAGGTTTCTTATTGTTTTTACACCATTTAATCTGAAAGAAAAGGTTTATTAAGGTTTCTTATTGTTTTTACACCATTTAATCTGAAAGAAAAGTTTTAAGGTTTCTTATTGTTTTTACACCATTTAATCTGAAAGAAAAGGTTTATTAAGGTTTCTTATTGTTTTTACACCATTTAATCTGAAAGAAAAGGTTTATTAAGGTTTCTTATTGTTTTTACACCATTTAATTTGAAAGAAAAGGTTTATTAAGGTTTACTATTGTTTTTACAATTTATCTGGAAAAGCTGAGTTCAAATTCCAGTTGAATCCATTACATTCACTTACATGTTAATACCCTTGGGAAAGGTATGAATCCTCTTCTCCCCCTCAGCTATGGGTAAGTAGCAGGACAGAGCAGGTTCTATCTATAGGTTCTGTAGACTGGTTTACTGTAAAAAGAAATGGCGACCTACTGCAGGGAAAAAACCTGCTTTGTCAGTCACATATTGAAAGATACATGATTGCCTAATCGTGTATCCTGTATAGCACACAACTGAGTGACTGATTGTTTTTACACCATTTATCTGAAAGAAAAGATTTATTAAGGTGTATTATTTTTTTTTACACCATTTATCTGAAAAAAGGTTTATCAACCCTTCTACATTAATATCTATAAAATGCCTGGTATCATGGTTTTTGAATGAATTCATTTAAGGATGATTCAATGGGACAAAAAAAGTGAATTAAGCTGTGAGATAGGTTTGTCTATCATCCAGTTCACACTCCTCCCCAGTTTTTTGAACAGGTGTAGAGGTTTATCCCTTGCTTAGGATTGGGTTTCTAGCTCCTTCTAAAATCTACTTCAACTCTATACTTCTAATGTCTCTGCCTAAAACTCTGAACTTTCATTTACTATTGGTTTACAATTTTTTTTTCCTCAATAGGAATAGATAGGTTCAGTTATCATCTGGTTCATATTCCTTTTCGGTCTTTTGAACAGGCATAGAGGTTTATCCCTTGTTTCCTGTTTAGGATTCGGCTACTAGTTCCTTCTAAAGCCTTTTTCCTTGTCTTTTACTTCTCGTATCCTTTACATCTTGGTAGCATTATCTCCTTGCTTCGGGTGGTGTCTCTTACACTATACTCTGTAACCCACTGCCTCGAGTGGCTCTTGGGTCTTGTATAAGATGAACATTGTAAAAAAAAAAAAAAAAAAAAAAAAAATTCTATTTGAATGTCTGGGATGAGGAGTTATCATTAATTACTCTATTTATAATGTCCTCATCTTTGTCACAGTGTTTTAGCTGTTTTACCCTCAAGTCTTCATGAGGTTCCCTGTAGGTTTCTCAGATCAGTACACACTTGCTGAGAATTGGAGGTAACAACAACAAAGATGAGGACAATTGTCTGAATGTAAATAATGTAAATAAGCTGTAGATAATTTAAAATAAGATTTTCTGGAATAAGCCCTGTTAATTCAATAAATTACTATTAGAAATATATATTCAAATCTACCCTATTTGGTGTCGTATGCCCCAGGTCTTGTATACAAAGTTCAGATGTCTGGTAGGTTAATGTTTACCAAGATTCCATCAACTAATATTGCTCAACTCTGTAATACACTAATATGACTAATATCTGAAGAGAGAAAAAAAGGAACAATGTTGCTTGCTGCTTCTTTTTAAACACTCACATGATTGATTCTTATTGGTTCAGCAGTAATGTCTATTTTTGGAAATAAGTGTGACATGCAGATTTTAATTTCTGCTAGACTCCATGCCTTTAATCGCAATAGTTTGTGTTCATCTCAATTATTGTTTTTCTTATCTGCAGATTGAACTTATTTCTAAATTTTACCAGGTTTTAGGTAACTCAAATTTAATGTTTCGCTAACTCAATTTGATCAAATTTTTTTGTTAATTTGATTTTATAATGTATACAATGTAGCTTAGTTACTGTTTCATTTTTTTCTCAAGCGTGATCAAGGCTTGCAAAAGCTTTCCAAAATATATCTGTTTTAACAATAAATTATCTGTTGGAATTACAAGGTTTTATTCCTTTTAAAAGCAGATGTTTATTCCTTGTTTCCTGTTTAGGATTTGGTTCCTTTTAAAATCTTATTCCCTTTTACTCCCAGTGGCCTTCCCTACTTCAACAAAAAACTAGGAGTATTTTTTTTCTACTCTGGTTTCGAAATGACATTTCTTTCCTTCTTTAAGTAATTCTCACGCTTTCAGCTTACGCATGTCTCATGAACTCAATTCGATCGAATTTTTTTTGTTAATTTGAATTTATAACGTATACAGTGTAGTTTAGTTACTGTTTCATTTATTTCTAAAGAGTGATCAAAGGTTGAAAAAGCTTTCCAAAATATATCTGTTTTAACAAATTATCCATTGGAAGTACAAGTTTTTATTCTTTTTCATTCAACTTCACCAATGGAATCAAGCATTTTTGCAATTAACTCAAATTCAATCTCTTAATATCTGTATAAATTCAGGAAAAATTATGCTTTGTAGGAGAGGCATTTTTATTAAAGAATATCTATTTTTTTTTTCATTTCCATGGGAAACAAATGCCATGAAATTGTTGAAATATGTGAAATATATTACAAATACATGCGAAATATGTGAAATATATTACAAATACATGCATTTGGCCTACAGCTGTCGAAATCTCTATTATCATTAGAGCTAAATTTGTTTTATTTCCTCAAACTTGTCCTTAGAGTTAAGAATGGCCTGTAAAACCTCCTGGGCATTTATCAATCTATACCCAGTTCTTATGGTATTGAAATTCGGACATTGATGAAATATCACAAAATAAATCACTAATTTAAAAACATGGCATCATTATATAAAATGTGATATTAAGATTGGAAAAAGAAGCTGTGATTTTTACCACAATCTCAAATGTTTTGGTTTTATGGCCAGTGGATGGGATTTTTGAATTGGCCTCCACCTGATGAAAGAGGAAGAAGACAATGAGTAGGCAAAGGAAAGCAGTTGAGGTCAAGCAACATAAAAATGGATATTGGTTATTTCCACTTGTTGGTCTATATTAAAAGTCATGCTTATGATTGAGGGGGCCAATTCCAGTCTGTCTTTGGCAAGAGATGGACTGTCCTTGCTCATTCATATTGCCAGCCACATGTTGTAGATGGGCAGGTGATTGTTAGGAGGGAACAGTTGAGTTATTAGAGCAATGTAGGTGACATTTAGGATAGTTTCTACTATCTACCAATCCAGACTGAGCATGCAAAGGCCCTGAATCAAATATCAACATATGCAGTGGGCTCTTTCTCAGCTTTCATTGAACACCAGCATTTTTTTCTTAATGTTCAGTTTATAGAAGACCCAAGAGCCGTTCAAGGTAGAAGTTTATTGAAGGAGGTTGTTGTATGAATAGTAAGTGGCAAGAGGTGCAATTTATGAATATATGTGAGAAAGTTAACAAACCTAGATTTTTTTTTTTTTAAGCATTTCACCCCAAGCAAGGCGGGAAGCCACTAGCACGCAAGGGGTTACAGAAAATATAGAGCAAGATCAGGTAGGAGTGATAGAAGAGGGTATGAGGTGAAGGGTAGTGGATAGATCAAGGCAACTGGAGATGTCGATTGACATTACACTTGAATAGCTGGAGATTATAGCTCTCAGGGAAACTGGAATAGGGAAGGAAGTTCCACAGGCGAGAGGAGCAGGACATGAAGCTATTAGAGTAGAAGAGACGGCTACATTTAGGAGTTTCGACAGTGAAAGGGTGAGAGTGGGATGCCAGCCTCGTCGGGCGCTTGAACTCATGAAGTCTGGGAACCAGCAAATACAGCTCCTCGGAGCAATTACCATGAACGTATTTGTAGAACAGACAGAGAGAGGCGACGGTGTGTCTGTGAGAAAGTGACTGTAGACGAGATGCCAGATCAGGGCCAATTATATTGCATATCCGACTCTGGAGCCTATCAAGAACTCCGAGGCAAACAGAAGGAGCACCAGACCATATATGGCAGCAATACTCTATGCAAGGGAGAAGAGATTAAGAGTGTAGTGGTCGGGAAAGCATCTTCTTGGGAGTCAGTTCCACAAAGTATCAGTTTGTGGGAAGAAGCTGTTCAAGTGGAACTTCCTTCCTCCTCATGGAATATGAAGGGAATGAAGATAGTTTACCTCAGTGTACTGTCTACAATGAACACAGTCTCTATATCTATATATCTGTCTCAGTGTACATGGCAGGGCAGATCATAGCTTTGAGTTGGTAGAACTAAGGAAAATTGTTTGTTTGTTGCTATTTTCATGGGAAATGTTCAGAGTCGTGAGAGGCTTGCAATGTTTTGTCAGTGGAAAAGGGGTTGTATGGTGGAAAATAATTCATCCCCCACTAGGCTGTGTAGATTTTTTTGAACTCTATCAAGAATGCAAAGTGAAGACTGGGCAGTTCCAGCCCAGATATGGCAGCAGTACACCATTTTTGGTCTGATCTGGCTCTTGTAAAGATAGAGTTTAGCAGGAGGAGTCAGATACTTACTAGAGTGGTATAGGGAATGAACCATTATTCTAGCATCTTTAGTGATGGATTGTATATGTTCCACTTGAGGTTGGGGGTGGGAGGCTTAAGTCCCAATAGGTGTTCAAGGCAAGGGGCCTCCTTGAAGGAACACCTGTTCATTGAAATTTAGTTTGGTGTTGATGGAATATTACTAATTTGGTTTTTGAGGTATTGAATGCAACCAGACAGTTTTTTTTTTCACCTTTGCCAGTCAGTGGAAAGTTTGGGCAAAAGTTATGTTGTAACCTAGGAAGGATTACTGAATGAGAAATAACCAAAATGGAGGTTCTAAAATGAATGGTAATTATTGTTTGTTGAGGTTATAAAACATCAACAAAATACAAGTGCTTGCCAGCAACGTGAAGTAGGTAAACCACTGCTAGTGGTGGACTACTAAGCATATTACCCCCACTTTCAATAGTGTCCAACGTATTTATAAGGATTGGGACATACCCATTAGTGTTCATAAGTATAGTATATAACAGGTTGCATCTTATAATTACCAGAAGTCACTATATTAATCAGTTCACTTCAATAGTCCACATCCTTCTATTATCAATTAGTATTATTAGATTGAGTTGTAAATAAATATATGTTTAGCCAGAACTGTCAGGTTTATGAGAGTGTCATAATGTTAACTCCTTTTATTTACTTTATTCTGTTATCAGCATTTAGAGAAAATAAAGAATTGACTCTATACCATATTTATCAAAATGGTATTAAGAAGCCACCTTCATAAATCATCTATCAAATAAAGATAATTTAATGTATTGCAAGATTCTCGGATGTTCAGTTATATTAAGTTACCACTTTGTTGTTAAGAGAAGGAAAACTCTATATTTAAACATCTGCTGTCTTGTGGCTATACTTAATCATGGGAAAGGTTTCAGGAATAAACTCTGAAGACAAATCTGGAGCTGAAGTCCCTAGGATTTTATGCTCAACTTCATTTTGGCAACTCCTGCAATGATGCTGGTGCCAAGCAGTATTGGACTCTACCTTTTCCTTAGACAACATCAGTGATGTGGAGAAGAGAGATTTGCTGCATGGGCAACTGTCGATCTCTCATAAATCCCTGCTCAGATCTGCACCCTGGAGAAAGACGTGCCACTATCAGAAGCTGAGGTATAACTTTTTGGGTACAGATCTGTGGTCTCTCAAGACTGATGGATGCCACACATCCACTTTGTTGTGGGAATCAACACTTTTGAGATGAGTGTGTGTAAATTGTAGAGTAAATATTTATGGGCTCGTGGAACATTTGTCCCAGAAACATAATCAGTGGACTCGTGTGAGTCCAGGTAAAAGAAGTAACACAAAACAATAATTTTAAGACAAATGGCAATTAATGCATGTATTAACAAAAGTATTTGCATGTGTACACAATTAAAATAAAAGGACATTGAACCTAAGTATAAGAGTGTGTGTGTGAGGTGAAAAGTCAATAGAGTAAGAAAAATGAATGTGCCCAGTAGCAGCATTTTTTTTTTTACCAATGTTTGACTACATCTGGAAGAAAGAGGAAGATGAAGGAAATGTTAAACTTTTTATCTAAAGAGCACCCCCCATACAGGCATTTTTGGCATAGCCAAGTGGGGTAACACCAAATGTCTTTTACATTTGCAAAATGATATGAGTGTATTTTACAATATTTATTCTTAATATTTGAATGCATTTCTTTTACTATGTTTTATTCCTTCAGTTTTTCATTTTTCTGCAGGTGAATAATATCCAGCGTCCTCATGCTTATGAAAAAGCTATCCGAGATAAAGAAAGAGCCAGAGAAGACATTCTTGTAAGTTGCTTTGAAAATTTGTCTAACACTCTGTAGTTTTGATTCCTGTGTCGACACTATATTTATACATTTCTCTATAATGCGCACACTCTCCATGTCTATATATCTGCCTATAAGGCACACACACAAAGTTGTACCTCTTTAAGTTAATTCTAGAGCAATATAAAATGCTGTAAAACAGAAATTAACCCCCTAAGCTTACATCCTATATAAACATATGCTATTTGGAGCCACTCCCTGGATTTCAAAGAATGACCATAAAATCAAAAGCTGCATGCTTTTTTTCAAAATCAATTTACTAGCTCACTTTAGACAAGATTGACTTTCTCTTCCTGAAGTGTTTTTTGATATATTCGTTAATAATAATAATTTATCTTATTACTGCATAAAGTTTCCTTCCAATTTATACCACTTTTCTCCTAATCTAGCTTGCTGGCTAATGGTAATCTTAGGGCTAGTGATTTTTAAATTTAAAAAAATCGGACTGCAATCACTAATTGGTTAAATAGTTTTAGCATCCTAGCTTAGTAGAAATTAATTAAACCAAAGAAAGCATGAAACTTACTAGTTATTAAATTAATAGTCCCAAAATTTTGGTCTATAGTATATGTCTGACTCCATAGTGTTTACAAGCACAGCCCACATTATATATTATTATAAAAGGAAATTGTTTATGCTTTTTTTTTAATTAGTTGTATTAAAAATAAATAATAAATAGATTTAATTCTATATGAAAATAGGCATCAAAAGTTGTTTTATTTTTTTTTTCACTTTGGTCTCAAAATGTGATTCAGTTTTAACATATTCAGTTTAAAAAGTTGTTTATAAATTACTAAACTGCAGTTGAATCCACAGTTTGAAACTGAATTAAAGGACTCTAGTAACAGACCCCTAAACTAGTGGTGGTGCATTCAAAAAGGTGTTGGACCATGGGAATATTCTGACCACAGAGAGCTAGATTTGAAAGGTACATCTGTATCTAAGAAAGATATTTGAAAACAGCTTGAATTTGAATAAATTTTTTAAAATTTTCTGTTATAAATAAATAACACTGTAGCATACATAGCAGAAGTTGAAATGAATAAGGTTTATAAATTTCAACAGATGGAATAATTTTGCATATATATTTTTATATAAAGCATAACAATACAAGAAGATAAAAAATATACTAGTGTGTACACAGATAACTGAACAAGAAGAAAAACACTATAGATTTTACTGTAGAAATATGTGAGTGTGATTTGTTTGAAATGAATTTTGCCGAGCAATTAAGAAATCTTTCTCAAAGGGGAAAAGTGCTGTGTTGTCACTAGTACATCCAGAGCAAAAAAGGAGGTTATACCCATTCTTTTATAGTCCTGAAACAGTGCCATATAGTGGATGTCTTGGTGGACAAGGTGGGGATAATCCTGATAATCTTGTAAATATTGGAGATTACCAATCAAAATTTTATGAGATTCAATATTTTTTTTCAATATATATTCTTATTATCTATGGTATTTTTTTCAATGTATTAGGTTGGTGCAAAAATAATGACGTAATGTCTTTTTTTGACGTTAAAAAATACGTCCAAAAACGACATTATTACGTCATTATTTTTGCACCAACCTAATATTCTTCTTATCTATGGTATGATTTTAGGTGGCCCAACAAGAACAGCCGAAAAAATTGACTGCTGCTCGAACAAAGGAGAAGGAAGCCAAGACTCAGTACAACATTATTGTTGAAAAAGCCCAGTCAGATGCAAGGATAAAACTAAAACAGTAAGTTCTACCAGATTTCCTTTCATTTAATTTATCCATAAAATTGTATAAATTAGTATATTAGTATAGGTAGAGTTGGTGGAAAAGACAAAGAAAGAAACAGTTTTAATAATTATAATAATTTTCTCTATTTCTGGATGTATGAGTAAGAAGTAGAAGTGAAGATAATGAGGGTAGATAATGATTAACCCTAAATTTAAAGAGGTTAAATTAGCAATGTTCAGAGAAATATCTATATTGGAATCTATTTGACAAAGTAACAGTTCTTGGGAAGAAGCTGTCAGAGTAGAGCTTCCTTCTTATAAATGGAATACAGATGAAATGAAGGCAATTTGACAGTGTGGACATAACATGCCAGGGAAGTATAAAGTGCCCATTTTCACAAATAATTGCTGCTGAATGCTTGATGGTTGTGTGAGAACATCTGAAACTTTTAGTTGTGGCCAGCCAGTGTTCATCAAGAATTTATTTAGTATTTGGTATATGTTTTCTGTTTATATGTTTTTTATGGATACAATTATTTGAATAAATGCTCTGTTTTTAATTAAACAGTATTAATTACATTTACCAGCCTGAATGTTCAAAACATTTCGTAGAAAATGTGTGTCCTCTGACAGGAATTGAATCTGTATCCTATATGGAACCGTCATTTAGCCTGATGTGCTATGACCAATCAGTCACAGAGAACTTCTGGTTTAGCAAATATTTTTCAGATTTAATCCATTTCACTTATATATATATATATATATATACACGCACAATGAAATGGACTAAGTCTGACAATTGTTTAATATATTTTCTGTTTATATATAATTTTAATAAATACAATTTATTTAAGTAAACACTCTGTTTTTTTTAATTAGACAGTATTAATTACATTTACCGGCCTGAATCTTCAAGAAATTTTGTAGAAAATATGTGTTCTCTAACTGGAATCAAACATGTATTATACAGAATCATCATTTGATCTGACGTGCTATACCACTTAGCTATAGAGAAGCATCTGGTTGGCAAAGTCTAAATTAATCCTTCAAATCTACAAGTCAACCATTCGCCCTTGCATGGAGTATTGCTGCCATATATGGTCCGGTGCCCATTCTGTTTGTCTCAAGGTTCTTGATAAGATCCAGAGACGGATAAGCAATGTAATTGGCCCTGATGTGGCATCTCATCTGCAGTCGCTCTCTCACAGATGTGCCATCGCCTCCCTCTGTCTTTTTTTACAAATACTTTCATGGTAACTACTCCGATGAGCTGCTTTCGCTAGTTCCCAGACTTCATGAATTTAAGCGTTCTATTAGGCTGGCATCCCACTCACACCCCTTCACTGTCGAAACTGTTAAATGTAGCCGTCTCTTCTACTTCAATAGCTTCATGTCTCACACCTCTCGCCTGTGGAACTCCCTCCCCTTTTCCTGTTTCCCTGATAGCTATAATCTCCAAACTATTTAAATGTAATGTCAATCGACATCTCCAGATGCCCTGATCTATCACCTATTCTTCTCTTCATCCTTTCCTCTATCACTCCTCTTTGGCCTCACTCCAATTCTCTGTAACCTTTTGCATGCTAGTGGCTTCCCACTGTGCTTGGGGTGAAATGCTTAAAAAAAAAAATAAATAAATAAATATAATATATTGTGTGCATGTGTATATTAGTACAAATATAAAATTTGTCACTTAGCTAATTGGTGTTTTTTTTTTCAACATCCTAACACCAGAGTTTTGCAGATGGACCCTCCACCAACCACTCTGTCCACTCGTCAGGAGATATCAGCAATTGACTGTTTATTTTCTCATTTTTCTTTTATATATGCACTTTTGGTGCATAGTTGAGATTTTTTTTTTCTTTATTGAACCTATATCCATTTTTTTCACCAGGGAAACCGTTTCTGTAGCTGAAACCTGATGCTACCAGTCTGGCAACAGAGTCTGTTTACATAACAAGGTTTGAATTGCCTATTTAAGGAATTCACATCTTTCTCTGTTGGAACTTCTACGCATCTATATATACTAGCTTCAATTTCATATCTGAAGACGCTATGTATAATTATTATATATTTCTCTTTTTGCAGGGCTCAGGCTGAGGTTGACTCCATTTCATTCCAGTACAAGAAGGAAGCAGAATCTTACAAAAAAATAATGGACAAACAAGGATTAGCCTTCAACAGTACAGGTTTCCTCTCGTACTTGGCTATTCGAACCATTTCCTCAGTTAAGAATCCACTCTATATCAGCATGAACATACCAGAAAACAAATGAATACACATTTTTTACATCTTGTGAAACTGGTTTAAAAAATTCACCAGCCCCTCATTTCACACATTAATATTTTTCAATTTAAATCTCATCAAACGATATTAATATACATACATATATATATATATATATAAAAAAAAAAAATGTCACAAATTTGTTCATAAATATTTAAGAACAAAAAAATAACACAATACTTATAAATTTTATAATCCAGAAAATATATATATATATATATATATATATATATATATATATATATATATATATATATATATAATGATAAATGAAGAATAAAACCAAGACAATTCAAGTTTTACCCTAAAAGTGAGAAATTGTTAAGCTAGACTTAATCTTAATTAGATGTCTCTTATAGTTTACATTTCAAACATGGAGAACTTTTGTTATTGTTTTTTTTAATTTTTTGCATGAATATAAATGTCATCTGGATTATATATTAGCTATTAAATGCTTTTTTGCAAAAAATATAGCTAATATAGAACCTGGATGATCCAGGAACAAAAAAAAAAGAGTTCTCTATACTAAGAGTTATATCTGATGTCGATTGAACTTGACATAACAATCCTTCATTTTTAGGATGAAACTTGAGTTGCCTTGAATTTTAGTCTTGATTTATCTTGTTTCATAGGCTCTGCCTTGTATTGAGCACCTTTTAATTGATAACTTTATCATAGTTGTAATTTAACAACTAATATATATATATATTAGTTGTTAAATTACAAAATGTGTTTTTATATATATATATATATATATATATATATATATATATATATAAACACAGGTACTAACAAACCAAACAACAGTCAGAGATTCTTGGCATATGTTTAATTTATTAGTGTTACTATTGTCTTTGTCTGATTTCTAGAGGCATTGGGCATTTTAGGTTTTTGCATAGATAGGTATCTATATTTTATGTTTTAATAGTTTTTAAAATTTTTTATCATTTTCCTTTTGGTGTTATGTTTTTTTCCTTTGGTAGGCTTAGTGTTGGTAGAGTTGTTCTTTGAGCCATTCTTTTAGCTATTTTTGTCTTTTTCTTTCTCTCTGATGACTTAAGCCCGGTTTCTTTTTTTTTTTTTTTGTTGTTTTCAAGGTTTCAGTTATTCTATAGCGTATAGAACCTCTGTATTCTATGGTACAGTGTAACCCGGATATAAGTGAGTTGTCGGGACTGGAGAAGAAGTCTCTTATATCCGGGTTTGGTCTATTTTGTTTAGGTAAGTATGGGAACACTTCATATAACGCTTTTTACATACAGAACACTAGTTTATTTAACAGTTATAGACATAAAAAACACAGACAAAAATACATTTTCAATCAGTTTTCAAAATAATTCAATCAAAAATTACTTTTTCTTAAAAAAGTCAGTCATTTTTGATTGTACAGAAATCTCTTTGTTAACATCATGAACACTTTCATACAGTCCGTAAATCATTTTCAATGCGCCATCAGGATTACTGCTTTGTGCTTCAAAGTAGGCTGTCAGAGTTTCAAGCGCATTCAATGCAGCCAAAGATTTTGGCACTGGTTTGTCTCTTTCAGAAACTTCAGAATTTATGCTTTCAGCATCATCATCTTTGTCAAAATCTTGATCATCCAATTTTATACCACGTGTGATGTCTGTGTCAATCAGTTCTCCATTCTTCGTTAACGTCCTTGTGCACGGATTGGCACTTTCGTTTGCAATTAGTGTTTCTATTCATTTGCATGCAAGATCTGAGATTGTCTTCTTTCTTGAGAATTTTTGCTGCTGTTGAATAACCGATTCCGTACTTTTTGGCTGCAGCAGCCAGTTTGAGTTTCTTCACTTTGACATCGTCGATGAGCTCCAACTGTTCAGAAATGCTCAGAGTTTTTTCATTGAGACGCCGACGTTGACATTACTAATTGCATTGATCACAAGCAAACGGTTTTCAGTGGCAAAATTAACAAACAGACAAACTTCTGACTCAACAGAACAGTGGGTAAAGTGAAAGTGCTGTCCAGTAAATGCAATGACAAGCAAAGTTGGCAAAAAAGCGAGTGGCGCTACCCTTAGACACACAAAGCAAAATCATAATGTAGAGGGTGTCTCCTACAGACACAGATTGGACACACCGTGTCTCTAGACTAGTCAAGATTAAGTAATTGAACTTCACTCTCTCTCTAACTGACCTCTGTTTGACCGAGTTACGACATTACACTGTCACTCAAAACCGAACTCTCTTATATCGGGGAGGACGGGACCAGAGAAAATCTCTCTTATATCCGGGTTTCTCTTATATCCTGGTCTCTTATATCCGGGTTACACTGTATATACAATTTCTATAAAGTATTCTGTCACATTACTTTAGATGTTTATTCATCTCTGTCATTATATTACATTTTCTTTTTTTTGTTTTACAAGAGGTGATCATAAAGAGATAGTTAATTTATACATCACTGTAGTGGACTCCTCTGTTGACATAGAAAAATGTAAAATCCACGTACATAATTTTTAAATGGACTTTTTTAATTTTATATTATTACTATAAATGTTATTTTTCGGGAGTAAACATATTTGCGTTGACAGCCATGTTTTCTTATTTGCTTAAACTTAACATTTTTTTCTTTTAGTAAGGATTTTATTTAGTCCGGTTGATATTAATTTCATTGTTTAAGAAAATTAAATGAAACAAGTATGTCAAGTCAAACACATGTTCCCACTAAAATTAATATTTATAGTCATAATGCATTTGGAGAACCACTTCAAGATAACAAAATTAAGTAAATAAACTTGTCATGAATACTATGATCTGTTGGTTGGTCTGCAGCAGTTTGGGTGAATATTAAATATGATTATATGATCATGAAATAATTATACTTAGTTTTTTGTTGTTTATGTAATTTTTTCTGTTGTACTAAATGTTCCATAATAATCTAAACCTTATCAGCGTTCTGCAGAGGCCTTCAAAATTTCTAGACGAAATATTGAAGTAGCTATTGAATGTGCTAATGGTTTCTCTTCTCACACATCTGACTTGTGGAATTCTATCCTCACTTCTTGCTTTCCAGTCAAATTTGATCTTCAAAAATTTAAATCCAATGTCAATCGTCGTCATCTGTCTTTTATTGGCCTCTTTCCTTAATAATGATTTTTCTCATATTTTTTCACACAAGTAACTGCTTGTATCTTAGTGGACCTTGTTTGCGATGAAAAAAAAAACCTGAGCGAGTAAAGATTTTTATAGAATATTTGGAATCTAATGCTGAAATTTTTCCTACTACAATACTAGGAAAGATACCCCTGTCTGGATGAAGGGGTGGAATATTTCAGTATCTTCCTACGGGGACATAATATGGCACAAGGCTCTTTTTCTTTTTTTTTTTTTTCCCCCACTGTGGGACTCCATATACATTTGTGTGGGTTAGTGTAAAATTTGCTTCTTTCCATGAAGTAAAATTTAACTATTATGAATTATTTTTAAACTTTATTTCCTATATCTTTAGACCAGTATTTCTCAAATGGTGTACCTGGGGCCACTGATGCACCCTGAAAGGTAGCTGGGTGTGTCTCAAGTTAACAGAAGAGCAATTTATGAATTATTTTTATATTTAAAAATCTTTATTTATAAAAAAGCTAGCGATGCCAACCACATTGACTACCATGTTTAAGTTAAGTCTTTGTAATTTGATATTTTATACTGGATGTTAAATTCCTTAATCTTTTAATAAGGAGGGGATAAACCTTTCTTCTTTGCTTTCCTCAAGGCATAACATATAGGCCCTATCATTCAAAAGACACAGTTTTCATATAAGCATACTTAAATATATAATGTTTTAAAAATAAATGCTTATTTCAAGAAATATTTCTTTTATTATTTTCCTATTTTCAAATTTCAGTACTAATTTTTCTTTATTAAAATTTAAAGTGTGCCTCAGAGTTTTAGTTATTCTGTAAGTGAGCCATGAAGTAAAAAAGTTTGAGAAACACTGTTTTAGGCTGTTGTCTCTATTTTTGTTATGTCATAAAATATTTCATTTAATGTATTCTTCTTCATTCATAGTGTGTATAATATTTCTAAAAGAATGTTTTAGTTAAACACTAAATAAGAATCTCTGAGTTTTACAAAAAACATCACTTTGAAATTGGATGTTGTTTTGTGTTTTTTGTCTTATTTTTTCAACAAAGAAGAAAAAAAAGAATGTTGGGGAAAAAGTTGTTCTTTTTATTTTATGATAACGAACAAATATTTATAATTATTTTTTCTCAACTGTTTGAAAGATTAATAAAACTCTTTTTAGATAATGAAACAACACTAAAAACTGATCAATATGTGGAAGAAATATTATTTTTTATCAATTTTTATGATTTTATTGATATAAAATGAAAATGTTCTAACCCTCCATTTTTTTGGGAGAGAACTACCTCATTCTTGTTTCATTTTTATTTATTTATTTTTTTGTTATTTCCCCACAGGGCCAGTACAATGATCTCTTGCCCTCCTCTGATTCTCTAATATGACCCCCCTCCCACCCGATCTACTACATCTCAATTTTCATAAGGTAGTATTCATGTAAAATACAAATATTATTGTTACCTAATTGCGTACAATAATGGATTATATACAATATAGTTGAACAGTTCAACTAGAAAAATTGGAAATAAATACAATGTATCTAAATTCAAATTAGAGACATGTCATAATAGATCCATCTTAAATAAATCAATGTTTTGCAGCAATTTTTAACCTCAACTTGAGATTTTTCTTGTTAAAAAGTTGAATAATTTTAAGACATTCAACATATGGATAAAAAACAATTAATTTTATATAGTGTTTTTTCAAAACTTAGCAAAACAAATTCACAGATT